GGTTCAGAGCTATTCCAAAGGGGGGGGGGGGGGGGGCAGCAATATCCCAGTTTGTCCCTTAGCTACCCTGTCATGTAAAAACAAAGGGTGAGTTTTTTTTCCCTGCTACTGGTGTACTCACAGCTTCCTTTGAGGATTTGGGTTCTGCTGTACTAAGGCAGCTCTCAGGAACAAACAGCCTAAGCAGTTGTGACAGGCAGAGGAAGCACTTTTAGTCCTGCTTTTCAGATGGAGGAGCAGAATGCAGAGACTTGTCTGCAGTCACGCAGGAAACTAAGGGCAAAGCAGCATCTTGAACTCAGGCCTCTCATTGTCAGCTCTGCATTTTCATCACACTCCAGAGCCTACGTATTTGTCTTTGCACTAGTAGAGGGGGGTACCATGCTGCCCCAGAGGTGGGTGAGTGGTAGCTCACAGAAGCTGTTCCTGCAGAGCATTTCCAAGCCCAACGAATGCAGAGCTCTCCCAACACTTTGCAGTCAGCTCTGTGCAGTGTGTCATCCAGGCATGGAGTTCACTGCCACGAGAGGATGTTGAGCCAAAGGCTGTAGTTGAGTTTCTTGCAGGGTTGAAAACCAGCCTGGTTAGTTTAGGCAATGGAACTAGCTTTCTTTTTCTTTGGGGAGGGGGGGATTTAGTTTGTAGAGAGTCGAGGGATGTTGGGTCCAAGGTTAGGTGCTGATGCTTAAACTGTCAGCCAAAAAAATCAGTGATTGTGATTTTTACTAGATGAAGACTCTCCCTTTCTATTTAGTGTTTTGATTGCTTTCAAAGGAATGGCAGAAAGAGACTTTTCTCCTGCTCAGAACTCAGAGGTTTCTCATGAAACTTTCATCATATGTGAGCTCACTAAAAAAACCCACAACAAACAAACCCCCCAACAAACCTGTATCAGGTTAGGCAGGAAATCTGCTTATTTTCCTTGGCACTTTTGTTTCCACCAGGACTGTTGAATGCAGCATACAGAGTGGCTGGGATTAAAGTAAGAGTCAAAAAAAAAAACAACCCTGAAAAAACTCGCCCCAAAACCAACAAAACATGGGGATAAACGAGGGGAAAGGAAGACGAGACAGAAACTATCTGTGAGGTCCCCGGGGTCAGGTGATTAAGTATTTTTGGACTGCCAAGGTGGTGATGGTAAGTGAAGATAATGCATTATGCAGTGGAAAGCTAATGAGACCAGGTCTGTTAAACACGGACTTGGTGTTATTTAGCTCGGGAGTGTTTCAAATTACACAGGCCCAGGTTGCATCCGATGGCCTCTCCTGCCTTGACAAAGTGAGCAGCAGCCTTTTATATAACGCACACGCTCATGAACCGCAGGGAACAATCCTGCACCGGCAGGGGAGGGAACCCGGTGACATCATGGGTCTTCTCCATCTCGAAGTGATGTGATTCATCAATTAAACGAATTCCGTGGGATAAAGCAGCACGAAAGGGCAATTTCCCCGCAACACGCTGCCCGCTGATTAACTCTTCCCTCCCAATTTCAAACACAAAACCTCCGCCACGATTGCCCCG